CTGATACTCTCCTGACCTGCTATCTAACAGAGATGGGGCTGAATGAGGCGAGACAACATTTGGGGACAATAATAATAATAATAATAATCCTTCCATTTGATAGAGCGCTTTTCACGTCGGGAGGACGTCCCAAAGCGCTTCACAGAACACACTGTAAAGTGAATTGACTGTATATTTGTGAGCGACAAGCATTGTTTCAGCAGTATTTCCACCGCAGTTCCATGTATTAGACATCTAAACATGTGAAACCCATCACTGTATTCCATTTGGATTATTGTAGTGATTATTAGTAGTGAAACACTAATGGTGTGTGTGAGGTGGCGGTGAGGCAGAGGTTGGCGTGTGGGTGATGGTGAGGCTGGGGGTGTGGGTGATGGTGAGGGTGGGGTGATGGTGAGGGTGGGGGAGTGGGAGAGGGTGGGGGAGTGGGTGATGGTGAGGGTGGGGGAGTGGGTGATGGTGAGGGTGGGGGAGTGGGTGATGGTGAGGGTGGGGGAATGGGTGATGGTGAGGGTGGGGGAGTGGGTGATGGTGAGGGTGGGGGAGTGGGTGATGGTGAGGGTGGGGGAGTGGGTGATGGTGAGGGTGGGGGACAATTGTCTGTTGTTGTATAAATGGAGCTTTAGAGTTTTGTTTCTTCAGAAATCAGTGGCAGATGTGGTTTCAGTTTCATTTCTGGTGCACACTGCAGTCCTTGTAACCTTGTAACCAGGAGATTATAGTTCCTTTTCCACAGGGAGGGTTTTAGTGACAGGAACTCACATTGTTATTTTATTCTATATTTGCCCCCCCTCAGGGCACTGTCTGATGGAGGATGTGAGGACAGCATTAAATGGCAAAGATGGCATTTAGTCGCCTCTTGTGATCAGTGTTAAATGTGACCCGGACGCTCTTTGTCCCCGGACACAGGCGTCCAGAGGCACTTCTGTGGGTTTGTGCTGAGCTTCCATGCTCATTCTGACCATGTTGTGTGACACACACTCTCGCCCTCATCCAGTTATTGCTGCACACTCAGCTCTTTATGCCATCAGCTCTCTCCAGATTCCCTCCACCTGCCTTGGCCCATTTCCTCCCCTCTCTGTCATTTTCACACCTGAAGACCTTCCTCCTGGACCGTACCTACGTTACCTCCTCCCTCCCCCCCCCCCCCCCCCCCCCCCGCTCAGTGTCAGGCTCCACCAATCTTAAGCACTCCCTCTAAAAGGACAGGCTCTGACTCTCGCTGCCTATAAAAAAGATAATAATTTGGTCACTCAATCCATGACTGTTTGTGGGACGCTGCTGTACACAATTGGCTGCCACATTGCGCCCACAAATATGCAGTCTTCCAATATATGCACTTTACAGTGTATTCTGTGAAGTGCTTTGAGACGTCTCGAAGACGTGATAAGGCTCTGTATCAAATGCAAGGATTATAGATTACTATAGACCGAGAGGAAGTTCTGAAAAGATTGACTGGGCTCAAAATTGATAAGTCACCAGGACCAGATGGGTTTCACCCAAGGTGCTGTGGGAGATACGGGTTCAAATAGCGGAGGCTTTGGCCATTATATTTCAATCGTCATTGGACACAGGAGTGGTGCCAAGAGACTGGAGAGTGGCTAATGTTACCCCACTCTACAAAAAGGGGCAGAAAGACAAGCCCGGAAATTACAGGCCAGTCAGCCTAACCTCGGTAATAGGAAAGCTACTGGAGACCGTAATCCGGGACAAAATAAATCTCTACTTAGAGGAACACGAGGTAATTAGAGACCCCCAACATGGATTTGTGAAAGGCAAATCTTACCTAACAAATCTAATAGAATTTTTTGTAGAGGTGACTGCGAGGGTTGACGAGGGAAATGCGGTGGACATTATTTACATGGATTTTAAAAAGACTTTTGACACAGTACCGCATAAGAGGTTAATAAAAAAACTGGCGGCCCACGGTATTAAGGGGACAGTAGCCGTTTGGTTTAGGAACTGACTGAGTGACAGAGAGCAGAGGGTGGTAGTTAATGGGTGTTTCTCGCAATGGAAGGAGGTGTGCAGCGGTGTCCCCCAGGGATCGGTATTGGGACCACTGCTCTTTCTAATATATTAATGATCTGGACTTGGGCACAGGGAGCACTATTTCCAAGTTTGCAGATGATACCAAGTTAGGTCGGGTAGTAAATAGTGAAGAAGATTGTGACGGACTGCAGGCAGACATACACAGAATGGTGGAATGGGATGACATGTGGCAGATGGATTTCAATGTGGATAAGTGTGAGTTGATACACTTAGGTAGGAAAAATGATAGGAGGCAATATAGACTTGGAGCTCAATCTTAAGGGGGGTGAACGTACAGAGAGATCTGGGCGTTCAAGTAAGCGAATCATTAAAGGTAGTGGGACAGGTAGATAAGGCAGTAAAAAAGGCATTTGGTGTACTGAGCTTCATTAGTAGGGCATAGAGTATAAGAGTATAGGGGTTATGGTTAATCTATACAAAACACTGGTTAGGCCTCAGCTGGAGTACTGCGTCCAGTTCTGGGCACCTCACCTCAGGAAGGATATTAAGGCACTGGAAAGGGTGCAGAGGAGATTCACGAGAATGATACCAGGAATGGGGAACCTTAGCTATGAGCACAGGCTGGAAAAGTTAGGACTTTTCCTATTAGTGCAGAGAAGGTTACGCGGGGACCTGATAGAGGTCTTCAAGATCATGAAAGGTTTTGACAGGTGAGATAGGGAAAAGCTGTTTCCGCTGGTAGGTGTGTCTGTGACTCGTGGTCACAGTCTGAAGATATCTACCAAAAGAAGCAGAGGGGAGGTTAGAAGAAATGTTTTCACTCAGTGAGTTGTTAGAATTTGGAATGATCCGCCCGAAAGGGCAGTAAAGTCCTATTCGATAACAGCTTTTAAGAGAGAACTGGACAGGTATCTGGAGAAGACAGGTTTGCAGGGTTATGGGGAGAAAGCTGGTGAGTGGGGTTAATAAGTCAGTTGCTCTGTCAAAGAGCCGCACAGACTCGATGGGCCGAATGGCCTCCTTGTGCCGTAACATTCTCTGATTCTATGAGTCTATGTTTATTATTATTATCCACCTTTCACTACGCCACGCCCCGTATCTCCCACAGCACCTTGGGTGAAACCCATCTGGTCCTGGTGACTTATCAATTTTGAGCCCAGTCAATCTTTTCAGAACTTCCTCTCGGTCTATAGTAATCTATAATCCTTGCATTTGATACAGAGCCTTATCACGTCTTCGAGACGTCTCAAAGCACTTCACAGAATACACTGTAAAGTGCATATATTGGAAGACTGCATATTTGAGGGCGCAATGTGGCAGCCAATTGTGTACAGCAGCGTCCCACAAACAGTCATGGATTGAGTGACCAAATTATTATCTTCAAGCAGTTGATGGGCAGCTCACAGCTGGAGCCTCAGAGATCCCCTCAGGCCGCCTGGGTGTAAGCAGGAGCGGAGACAGGACCCTGAACCTGTGCAATCGCATGTGGCTCCAAGCGGATCCAGTGATCAGATTTACACAGTCACTACACTTTACAGACATTGTAAAATACGCCACTATATTAAATATAAGGGTTAATACAATAAAGAAAAATCCTTACATTTAATACAGAGCCTTATCGTGTCTTCTGGACATCTCAGAGCACTTCACAGAATATACTGTAAAGTGAATTGACTATATTTTGTGGGCGAACGCAGCAGCCAATTGCGCACAGCAGCGTCCCACAAACAATGGTCGAAGGGTTTATCATCTCCAGGAAAACGATCCGCCAACGGAATGTCAACAAGGTTCCTACTTACTACTACATCAACAGAGGTGTGTGGAGGAAGGAAACCTGCCCAACGTTTAGCCTTGTGTGGGAATTGAACCAGGTCTTCTCGCTTGCGAGGCGAGTTCTCTAACCACTAAGCTACAGGACTCCATTATTTTATTTGAAATAATTCTGACAATCAGAGAATTGATGAAAAAGGTGGAAGCATTCTTAAACTGTGCTGAGTGACAAGGAACTCAGAACAGAAGGAACCATTTAATGTGTGTGTAACCCTGCACTTAGTGGTATAAAATCCAAAAGTCCAGGAGATAAACACACTCTTAAAGTGCAGTGAAAACGTTGACTTGAGCAACACAATGGGAGGTATAAAGCTTTAATTCCATGAAAAGCATACCAATACAATGATTCCGTACTTTGATTGGAAGCGTTACAAGAACACTTTCCTAAATCCTTTTGAAGACCTTGATCACAAACAATCATTGAGCTCTGTATATCATTCACAAAGCAAACCCAAGCAAAAGTCCTGAAAGAAGAAAAAGTCCACACAGTCAAGATGATCTTCAACGTCAAACACAAAACACAAAACCTCAAGTAAGCTTGCAGTTCCTTGATCAGCCATTGTGCACAGTGTGACCTGTTAGAATTGGAAAGATGTACACCTGGTCATTCCTGTAATGTGTAAATGTAGCTTTACGCAGTCACTCCACTTTACAATATATTCTGTGAAGCGCTTTGAGACGTCTCAACGATGTGATAAGGCGCTATATCAAATGCAAGGATTGTCGTTATTTCTGTTGGGAGTGCAGGAGTAACGTTGACATTAGACTTAGCAACTCCATATAATGGGATCGGATGATTGGCTTTGCAACATAATACAAATTTGCATTTATATACCACCTTTCACATCAGGGGGACGTCCCAAAGCGCTGGAGAGTTGAGGGGTTGCCCCCGAGGTGAGGGTTGGTTGGTGGGTGTGGGGGACGGAGGAGGGGGCAACAAGGAATGTGTTTAGACGGCCCTTAAAGGAGGTGAGGGAAGGGGTGAGGCTGAGGGACTGCGAGATGGAGTTCCAGAGAGTGGGGCAGACACGCTGACTGCTGATGGTGGGGTGCGTGGGGATGTGAAGCAGGCCGGTACCTGCTGAGCGGAGGGAGCGACCAGGTTAGTACTGTTTGTTGTCGTGTGAAAAGCTTGAATATCAACATCTAAATTCCCAAATAGCAATCAGAGGCAGTTATAGGTGAAGCTTGACATTTACAGCCACACTGGAATGTCACTTTTATCCCAATCACAAGGAACAGAGTCACTGCTCAATGGTGACTCGAGAACAACCAGGAATACAAGTTACATCTCAGTCTCTGTGCTGTATTCTTTACAACGATTTAAGATTCTTTAGTCACTGTCAAAAGCCTTTTTAATACCGTAGCCAGTCGCAGCCCCTACTGTCCCGACCACAGCACTGCCAGCAGCTGAGAGTCCAGCCGCTCCTTCAGGGGGAGAAAGAAGAAAAAATCGACTTTTTAGTGATAATTTATCAATTCCAATAAAGTTAATACTTTCCCTCAATTCATTTCTAAACTTAGCTAAAATGAGGGGTGTAGGCACAAGCCCCACGTCGAGACTCTCAAGTTGTGTCTAGGCTTAGGCTCTTGTTCAGAACGGGGGACTGGATACCTGACCAGTTGAAAATGGTTCTACTGGAGGGGTATATAAATGGGAGACTTGTGTGAGCCTCACTCGTGCAGAGAGCCCAACGGAGTGAGGGCTGAACAACAGGTGAGAGTAGGAATTCAATGCCGAGGGGGAAGGAGGTGCAGTGTAGACGCCTTTCATGTCGGGAGAACGTCCCAACGCGCTCCACATCTTCTCTCTGAAATCACTCTCCTCCCCCATTCCTGTCTCACCTCCTCTCTCTCTCTCTCTCTCAAACCCTTATTTATCAGGCTGGATCTGTCGAACCTGATGAATTAGACTCTGAGCGCTATCCCCTCTCTCTCCCCCCGGAGCTGTCTCTCCCAGTCCCCTCCATGCCCTGCTAATCGCTCCCTCCAGGTCTCTCGGCGTACGCATTTTGGCTGCCGCCCCCCAATTCGAAATCCGCCCTTAAAATGACCACATTTCTCCTCCCCCCACCCACCCACTAGTCGACCTCTGTCGTTCTCTCCCACCACCCTCCTCGCACACTCCTCTCTCTTAGACTCTCTGCCATCGGCCTCCGAAATGTCCGCTTCCTCTCAAACGAAGACCTCGCCATCCATGACCTCATCCTGGATTGAGGATATCGACATCCTAGAGTTCACAGAAACCTGGCTGTCCCCCGATGACCTGTCCCCTCATCGAAGCCTCATCCCCTCCCCCACCGGCTACACTTTCCCCGACACCCCCGCCTCAACTATCGCGGTGATGGGGTGGCGCTCATCTCTAAACCTCCTTTGTTCTATCCCCCTACTCCTCCCGCGCCTAAAGACCTTTTCGATCATGCTGAAGGATACCTCCCCCCGCCCCCTCCCTCTCCCCTTGGCTCGTTGTCAGACTCCGCCACTGTGAAGCGCCCCCATGAAGGGCGCAATATAAATGTAAGTTGTTGTTGTCTAAGCTGATGCTCCAATGCAGCGCTGGGCGCAGGTTGCATTGTCGGAAGTTCCGTCCTTTGGATGAGGCGTTAAACCTGGTCTTCACCTTCAAAGGCTTCCATGATCTTGTTCCCCACTCTGTGACCCACTACCACCCTGCTTGCTCCCTCTGCTCAGTGGACTCCGGCCTGCTTCACATCCCCCGCCTCGCCCACCCCCTATTGAAAGGCGCTAGATCAAATGCAAGAATTATTATTATTACCTGCAGACTGTAGGACAGCCACCAAACCACCTGCTGCTATTCCTCCTCCATTGGCTATGGCAGCCGCTGACATGGTTTTCGCTGCTATGGATCCTGCTACAATTCCAGCACCAGTGAAGCCAGCAGCACCGAGCACCACTGGAGCAGCCACCACTGCAACAACTGTGTGAGAGAGAGAGAGAGAGAGAGAGAGAGAGATATAGAGAGAGGAGAACAAGAGTAGAGAGAGAAAGAAGCAAGAGTAAAGAGAGTGAGTGACAATATAGCACTTTCACGTCTTCTAGATGTCTCAAAGTGCTTCACAGAATATGCAGTAAAGTGAATTGACAGAATACTTTGGGTGAAAGAGAGCGAGACAAGGCTTGTACAAGGGATAGACTGGGACAATAATAAAAAATAACCCTTATATTTGATACAGGGCCTTTCACATCAGGAGGACATCTCGACCCCCGAGATTATCAGCTGAACAGAGCATTAAGGCTTCACCTGTCTATGCCTCCCAGGATCAACAGTCAGTAATTTGGTTAATGGCTGTATTACTGGCTGTGCCTTCTAACGAAGCCAACCAGGAGATGTTCACCTACTGCCAGGAGTTGTGCATCCATGCTTGCACACTCCACCTTCTAAGCCAGTCTGGAACCTTGACATCTCGCTGGACCCCCAACTTTCCTTCCTACCCCACATCCATGCCATGTGCCGCTCTGCCTTCCCCCACCTCCATGACATTGCCCGGCTCCACCACTGTCTCACACCACAGGCCCCAAAACTCTCATACACATATTCATAACATCCAGGCTCAACTACACAAACTCACTGCTTGTCGGCCTCCCCAATTCCTCCCTCCATAGGCTGCAGATCATCCAGAACTCTGCAGCCCGTGTCCTCTCCCGCACCAGGCTCAGCGACCCTATCACCCCCAACCTCGCCCGACTCCACCGGCTTCCCATCACACAGAGGATACCGTTCAACATCTTGGTCTTGCTTCCCCTACCTCTGAGATCTTCTATCCCCCACCAGCCTGTTGTTTCCTCTGCTCAGCAGGTTCTGGCCTGCTTCACGTCGCCCGCCTCACTTGCCCGAAGATTGACCTTCTGCCACTCTGCCCCCATCCTCTGGAACTCCATCCTGCAGTCCCTCCGCCTCGCCCCCTCCCTTGCCTCCTTCAACACCAGTCTAAAGATCCTCCTCTTCGACTGTGCCTTCGATCATCCTCCTTTCCCCCCTACCCTCCACCCTCCCCGATCCCGACCCCCAGCTCGGGTCTGAACTTGAACACTGATTGTCCTCACAGAGCTGTTGGGATGTGGTTAGGGCAACAACCTACATTTGAATAATGCCCTTCACGTCGGGAGGACGTCCCAAGGTGCTGGACCGTCAGGGATTTGAACCCGAGCAGGGGGTTGGGATCAGGGAGCGGTGGAGGGTGGCTGAAGGCACGGTCAAACGGGAGGGTCTTGAGATGTAATTTGAAGGAGGTAACGGAGGGAGCAAGGTGAAGGGACTGTGGGATGGAGTTCCAAAGGGTGGAGGCAGAGAGGCAAAAGGCCCGACCATCTACGTTAGCTTTCAGGCGGAAACGGATAGACGTGGGGGTGGAGAGGCAGGTACACGGGACAGCGGGAAGCAATCTTTGGGGAGACAGTGCAGACACGATGCGCCGAGCGGCCTGATTCTGCGCTGTGGATATCTGTGGTGACGGTTAATATCCTACCTGCTCCTCCTGCAGTCCACAGAGCTGTAGCGCTCCAAAGTGCGGATCCTGGGGACAATAAAAAGACTTTCAACTCATCTGATGTTAAGCAACAGAGCGATTGAATCGGCAGCAGTCAAAATTAAACATTTTATCGTGCCAATCAGGATGTTATTAAGTGGAGTTTGCTCTTTGCTCTCAGTCAAGACAGCATAACTTTGTATCGCTATTTATATAAACCGTTTATTATTAAAGAGTTGACTATTTCCATCCTGGAATCCCTCCACTCGCTCACTCACTCCATCCTGCATTCAAACACCATCTCAAGACTTATTGTCGACCGCACCTTTCATCATCTTTCCCCTGACCACCCTCCTTACTGCCCTCCCCAGCTCGGCTGCCAACTCCTCCAATCATCCCGGTTCCTAAAGTGTGCGGGAACCTCAGATGCTGGGAATGGCTGCTGGCTTCCTCAGGTCTCCAGGCCTCACCTGTGTGGAAGCAAGCGGACACGATGAGCAGGATGTAGACCCGGTGCCACATTTTTCAGTCCTTTCAAGAAGTGGTTCAGTGAGATCTGGTCGAGGCTGTGACCACACGACCTGCACAAACAGCAGCAATGATTTCAGGCTGACATTACCAGCAAAGACCCAAACCAGCTCCTCAAGCACTCATCCCACCACTGGCTTTGTAACCTCTGCTGAGTTGGAGAAGCATTAGTTAGTACTCCAAGTACTCCATTGTTCCCCTCCCCACTCCAACCGTTTGAAAACCTCAAGGGGCGTATGAGTGTCATTGCTGTCTGTCACGCGCAAGAATTCTGTTTTTCAAGCTTCACAATAAATTGCCAACATTCTTATGTATTGAAGCTAAATGTCACTGGCAGAGCTGGTTTTGATTCTGTGACGTGAAGAAACCAAAACTGAAACACAAGGGTTTGTTCAGGAAAGAAAACACACTATACAAATGCTGTTTTTGTTTTTGGAGTTGTATCTTGTATTGTTGCAGTTCTTCTATTCTTTTATTTTGCTTTTTGCCTTTTCCGATATTGCTGGAATGTCACGAACCTTGGAACAGTCGAGGCTAAATGTTCTGAGCCACAGAGCAAGAGAAGAGATACCCTCACTCTCACCAGCTCAGCCAAACACTCAGACGAGCAACTCTGACTGAACACAGTGTAACTTAGCGACACCTCTATTATAATTGTCTTTTTGTTAAACATCAGGATGGTCCGTGCGAGTCTGTACGTTCTCACCCACCTGAGAGCTGTTTTCAGGCTGGTTTAAACAAGCTTGGCCTTGGCCTTGAGTATGTGACCCATCAGCTGATTCTAACTAAAATAGGAGCATTACATCAACAACTAACAAGAAAGCTGGTGCTGTAACAAACACACTGCTTACTGCTGAACCAATTTAACTCTTGTTTCTAAGAAGTTCCCCGTCAGTTGCTGATCTCAGTCGGGAAGGTATTAAGAGGTGCTAGTGGGAGTCCAGACATTGCCTCACACAGGGGAGTAACAGAGAGAGAATGAGCCTGGGATTATCAAGTTCCTCGTCAGTTGCACTTGTTTGAAAACTTCAAGGAGCGCATGAGTATCATTGCTGTCTGTCACGCGGCAACGGGCAGAGAGCCCAACAGAGCAAGCGGGGACCGGAGTGAGCTGGGAACGGGGTGAGGCCTATTTAACAGGAATTTGGAGAGAGTGGGAATTTAGTAGTAAAATAGTACAGAATCTCTTCACTTATTGTTTTCTAATGTGTTTCTCATCAACAGGAATTAGGCCAGGTGAAAATTGTTAGGTGACCAGTTGAAACTGGTTCTGTCTGGGAATTATATGAAGGGGAGTCTTGGTAGAGCTTCACTCAAGCAGGGAGCCCACCAGAGCAAGCAGCGACCGAAGTGAGCCCTCTACAACAGGAATTTGGTGAGAGTGGGAATTCGGTGCAGAGAGGGAAGGAGGTGCAGTATGGATGCCATTCAGGTCGGGAGGATGTCCCAACGTGCTTCATGTCTTCTTGCTGAAATCTTCCTCCTTTTCTCCCATTCCTCTCTCACCTCTCTTTTTCTCTTCACTCTCTCTCAAACCCTTGTTTATTAGGCTGGGGCTCTGTAAATCCTAATAAATAAGACTCTGAGTGCTATCCCCCCTCTCTCCCCACAGCGCTGTCTCCTCTAGCCTCCTCCATGCCCCATTGATTGATTGCTCCAAGTCTTGGCATGCGCATTTTGACTGTCCCCCCGATTCTGAGCCAACCCCCTCAAAATGCCCCCATTTCCACTCCTCACCCTCTGCTACTCGACCTCTGTCCTTCTGTCCCACCGCCCTCCTCGCCTTCTCTCTCCTGGACTCCTCCACTGCCTCCCTCTGTTCCAACCTCTGCCATGCTCACGGCAGCATGCATTAATGGTTGACCCAACCTGACGGCCCCATTGCCCACTCTCTCCGCAACACCCTCCCCCACCTCTCCTCCCTACTCAAACCCATGGTCATTTACCCCCACAATCTGCAACTCTCCCCTAAACCCTTTGCCCCTCAGCCCCTCCAACCTCTTCCATCAGTACCCATACCCAGATCGGCCTCCAAAACGTTCACTCCCTCTCAAACAAAGCCTTCACCATCCAAGACTTCATCCTGGATTGAAGATATCGACATCCTAGGGTTCACAGAAACCTGGCTGCCCCCCAGTGACCCGTCCCCCTCATTGAAGCCAGCCTCGCCCCCCCGGACACACTTTCCCCCACAACCCCCGCCTCAACCATCGTGGTGATGGGGTGGCGCTCATCTCTCAAACCTCCCTTGGTGTATAACCCTACTCCTCTGACTGTTTTCCCTCATTTGAGCACCTTACCCTGTACCATCCCTCCTCTCTCTCCCTCAAAATTCTCCTAGTTTACCACCCCCATCCACCCAAACCTCCTGGCTTCTTCCTCAAGGATATCGCTTGTCTCCTTTCATCGCTGTCCCTCTGCACTGAATCATTGCTCGCACATCTCCCTTCACTCCCTACTCCAGTCCAATTTCCACCCTGCCCACAGCACAGAGACAGCGCTCGTCAAAGTAACAAATGACGTCCTCTTTCTTCAGTTATCAGGAGAGGTAGAGAAGTGAGGATTATTGTCCTTAGAGCAGAGAAGGTTAAGAGGAGACTTGATAGAAGTTTTCAAAATGATGAGGGGATTCGATAGGGTGAACAGGAGAAATTATTCCCACTGGCGGGTGGGTCGGTGACCCGAGGACACCGATTTAAAATGGTTGTTAAAAGAAACAGAGTGAAGGGGAGGAGAAATGTTTTCACACAGCGAGTTGTTGGGATCTGGAATGCATTGCCTGAGAGGCTGGGGGAAGCCGATTCGGTAATTACTTTTTAAAGAGAGAAATAGATAATTATTTGTGGAGGACAAGTTTGCAGAGCTATGGGGAGAGCGCGGGGGAGTGGTGTTGATTTGGAAGCTCTTTTCAAAGAGCCGACACAGACACGATGGGCCGAATGGCCTCCTTCTGTGCTGTACAAATCTATGATTCTGTGGCCAGGGCTCCCTCTGCCTTCTCATCTGCCTGGACCTCTACTGCATTCGATAAAGGTGATCACACCATCCTCCTCCACCGCCTCTCTTCCCTCATCCACCTTCGAAGGACCGCACCCACATGGTTTGAATCCTATTTAACTAACCGCCAACATTACATTTTGGCAAATTGTTTTACCTCCCGCCCCCGCCCGGTCACCTGCGGGGTACCCCAAGACTGCATCCTTGGCCTCCTTTTCCTAATCTACACGCTCCCTCTCGGCGATGTCATCCGCAGACATGGGGTCAACTTCCACATGTATGTGGATGACACCCAACTCTACTTCCCCTCCAGCTACGACTCCCAATCTTCTGATGTCCTGTCGGTTTGTTTAACGGACATCAAGGCCTGGATGAAGCCACATTTTCTCACAACAAAAGCAGCTGAAACCCTCGTCCACGCCTTTGTCACTTCCCGGCTGGACTATTCCAATACCCTCCTCACTGGTCTCCCCAGCTCCACATTACCCCAAATTCAAGTAAGTCAGAACTCCACCGTGCGGATTCTCATGCGCACAAACTCCATACCCTCTTCACACCAGTCCTTGCCAGGCTTCAATGCAAGATTGTTGTTGAAATCTAGCTTCACATCTACAGAACAAGAGGATAGAGGTTTGGAGTTGCAAAGAAGTCATTTCGAGACAGACTTCCTTTACCCAGAAGGGAATTAACAATTGGAGCATTTGTCAAGCAGAGTGCACTTGGGGTAAGGAGAGGGGACTGGGCTGGACTCCTCTCCCACCTCGACTACTCAAATGCCCTCCTCTCTGGTCTCCCCAATGCCACCATCCATAAAATCCAGCTTATCCCAAACTCTGCATACTACTCACTCACCCACATTAAACCCTCACCCACACCCTCACCCACTCCCCCACCCTCACCCACTCCCCCACCCTCACCCACTCCCTCACCATCACCCACTCCCCCACCCTCACCATCACCCACTCCCCCACCCTCACCATCATCCAATCCCTCACCATCATCCACTCCCCCACCCTCACCCACTCCCCCACCCTCACCCACTCCCCCACCCTCACCCACTCCCTCACCATCACCCACTCCCTCACCATCACCCACTCCGTCACCATCATCCAATCCCTCACCATCATCCACTCCCCCACCCTCACCATCACCCACTCCGTCACCATCATCCAATCCCTCACCATCATCCACTCCCCCACCCTCACCATCACCCACTCCCCACCCTCACCATCACCCACTCCCCACCATCACCCACTTCCCCCACCCACACCCACTCCCCCACCATCACCATCACCCACTCCCCACCCTCACCCACTCCCCCACCCGCACCCACTCCCCCACCATCACCATCACCCACTCCCCCACCCTCACCCACTCCCCCTCCATCACCATCACCCACTCCCCCACCCTCACCATCACCCACTCCCCCACCCTCACCCACTCCCCCACCCTCACCCACTCCCCCACCATCACCCTCACCCACTCCCCCACCCCCACCCACTCCCTCACCATATAATACATATATAATATCCACACAATGTAAGTGTATAATACATATATAATAATATTCGCACTATGTGAGTGTACACTATCCGCACTATGTGAGTGTACACTATCCGCACTATGTGAGTGTTCACTATCCGCACTATGTGAGTGTACACTATCTGCACTATGTGAGTGTACACTATCCGCACTATGTGAGTGTATACCACACAGTGTACAATGTGCTGTGATGAGGAGCCCATTACCTGCAGCAGTCGCTGTGCTGATGGACACGTCGGGAGGACGTCCCAAAGCGCTTCACAGAACACACTGTAAAGTGAATTGACTGTATATTTGTGAGCGACAAGCATTGTTTCAGGCAGTATTTCCACCGCAGTTCCATGTATTAGAAATCCAAACATGTGAAACCCATCACTGTATTCCATTTGGATTATTGTAGTGATTATTAGTAGTTAAACACCTAATGGTGTGTGTGAGGTGGTGGTGAGGCAGAGGTTGGCGTGTGGGTGATGGTGAGGCTGGGGGTGTGGGTGATGGTGAGGCTGGGGGTGTGGGTGATGGTGAGGGTGGGGGAATGGGTGATGGTGAGTCTGGGGGTGTGGGTGATGGTGAGGCTGGGGGTGTGGGTGATGGTGAGGGTGGGGGAATGGGTGATGGTGAGGGAATGGGTGATGGTGAGGGTGGGGAAGTGGGTGATGGTGAGGGTGGGGGAGTGGGTGATGGTGAGGCTGGGGGAGTGGGGTATGGGTGAGGCTGGGGGAGTGGGTGATGCTGATGGTGAGGGTGGGGAAGTGTGTGATGGTAGAGGTGAGGGTGGGGGAGTGGGTGATGGTGAGGGTGGGGGAGTGGGTCACGGTGAGGGTGGGGGAGCGGGTGATGGTGAGGCTGTGTGAGTGGGTGATGGTGAGGGTTGGGGCGTGGGTGATGGTGAGGGTGGGGGAGTGGGAGAGGGTGGGGGAGTGGGTGATGGTGAGGGTGGGGGAGTGGGTGATGGTGAGGGTGGGGGAGTGGGTGATGGTGAGGGTGGGGAAGTGGGTGATGGTGAGAGTGGGGGAGTGGGTGATGGTGAGGGAGTGGGTGAGGGTGGGGGAGTGGGTGATGGTGAGAGTGGGGGAGTGGGTGAGGGTGGGGGAGTGGGTGAGGGTGGGGGAGTGGGTGAGGGTGGGGGAGTGGGTGATGGTGAGGGTGGGGAAGTGGGTGATGGTGAGAGTGGGGGAGTGGGTGATGGTGAGGGAGTGGGTGAGGGTGGGGGAGTGGGGGATGGTGAGAGTGGGCGAGTGGGTGAGGGTGGGGGAGTGGGTGAGGGTGGGGGAGTGGGTGAGGGTGGGGGAGTGAGTGATGGTGCGGGAGTGGGTGAGGGTGGGGGAGTGGGTGATGGTGAGGGTGGGGGAGTGGGTGAGGGTGGGGGAGTGGGTGAGGGTGGGGGAGTGGGTGAGGGTGGGGGAGTGGGTGATGGTGAGGGAGTGGGTGAGGGTGAGGGTGGGGGAGTGGGTGAGGGTGGGGGAGTGGGTGATGGTGAAGGTGGGGGAGTGGGTGATGGTGAGGGTTGGGGCGTGGGTGATGGTGAGGGTGGGGGAGTGGGTGATGGTGAGGGTGGGGGAGTGGGTGATGGTGAGGGTGGGGGAGTGGGTGATGGTGAGGGTGGGGGAGTGGGAGAGGGTGGAGGGGTGAGTGAGGGTGGGGGAGTGGGTGATGGTGAGGGTGGGGGAGTGGGTGATGGTGAGGGTGGGGGAGTGGGTGATGGTGAGGGTGGGGGAGTGGGTGATGGTGAGGGTGGGGGAGTGGGTGATGGTGAGGGTGGGGGAGTGGGTGATGGTGAGGGTGGGGGAGTGGGTGATGGTGAGGGTGGGGGAGTGGGTGATGGTGAGGGTGGGGGAGTGGGTGATGGTGAGGGTGGGGGAGTGGGTGATGGTGAGGGTGGGGGAGTGGGTGATGGTGAGGGTGGGGGAGTGGGTGATGGTGAGGGTGGGGGAGTGGGTGATGGTGAGGGTGGGGAGTGGGTGATGGTGAGGGTGGGGGAGTGGGTGATGGTGAGGGTGGGGGACAATTGTCTGTTGTTGTATAAATGGAGCTTTAGAGTTTTGTTTCTTCAGAAATCAGTGGCAGATGTGGTTTCAGTTTCATTTCTGGTGCACACTGCAGTCCTTGTAACTCCCCCACCATCACCATCACCCACTCCCCCACCATCACCCACTCCCCACCCTCACCATCACCCACTCCCCCACCATCACCATCACCCACTCCCCCACCATCACCATCACCCACTCCCCCACCCTCACCCACTCCCCCACCATCACCCACTCCCCCACCCCCACCCACTCCCTCACCCACTCCCCCACCCCCACCCACTCCCTCACCATATAATACATATATAATATCCACACAATGTAAGTGTATAATACATATATAATAATATCCGCACTATGTGAGTGTACACTATCCGCACTATGTGAGTGTACACTATCCGCACTATGTGAGTGTACACTATCCGCACTATGTGAGTGTACACTATCCGCACTATGTGAGTGTACACTATCCGCACTATGTGAGTGTACACTATCCGCACTATGTGAGTGTACACCACACAGTGCACAATGTGCTGTGATGAGGAGCCCATTACCTGCAGCAGTCGCTGTGCTGATGGACACAGACACTCACTGTCCGCGGCTCCGCTCTTTATACCGCAGTCCCCGCGGGGCTCCCGGGTCCTAGCGCTCCACACCGCTCTGTTCCCCCCAATAATAATAATAATAATAATAATAATAATAATAATCCTGGCCTTTCATAGAGCGCCTTTCACATCGTCCATCGTCCAGGTGTCCCCAAGCGCTTTACTGTAAAGTGTAGTGACTGTGTATTTTGTGAGCGATGCTTGTAAAACGGTTAAGACTTTCGGTTTGCAGTAGAATGATTGGGAGCAGAACAAACATAAAAACAAAACAAACATAAAAACAGAACACAAATATTAAAATACGTCCCTGGGAACACTCAAGAGGACGGGCACCGTCTATACATTCAGAACCGGTCTTGTGGAGCTCTTTGAGACGTCCCCCCGACGTGATAGGATCTGTATTAAATCAAAGGATTATTATTGTCAATGATCATAATGTTTATTTCACTGATACTCTCCTGACCTGCTATCTAACAGAGATGGGGCTGAATGAGGCGAGACAACATTTGGGGACAATAATAATAATAATAATAATCCTTCCATTTGATAGAGCGCTTTTCACGTCGGGAGGACGTCCCAAAGCGCTTCACAGAACACACTGTAAAGTGAATTGACTGTATATTTGTGAGCGACAAGCATTGTTTCAGCAGTATTTCCACCGCAGTTCCATGTATTAGACATCTAAACATGTGAAACCCATCACTGTATTCCATTTGGATTATTGTAGTGATTATTAGTAGTGAAACACTAATGGTGTGTGTGAGGTGGCGGTGAGGCAGAGGTTGGCGTGTGGGTGATGGTGAGGCTGGGGGTGTGGGTGATGGTGAGGGTGGGTGATGGTGAGGGTGGGGGAGTGGGAGAGGGTGGGGGAGTGGGTGATGGTGAGGGTGGGGGAGTGGGTGATGGTGAGGGTGGGGGAGTGGGTGATGGTGAGGGTGGGGGAATGGGTGATGGTGAGGGTGGGGGAGTGGGTGATGGTGAGGGAGTGGGTGAGGGTGGGGGAGTGGGTGATGGTGAGGGTGGGGGAGTGGGTGATGGTGAGGGTGGGGGACAATTGTCTGTTGTTGTATAAATGGAGCTTTAGAGTTTTGTTTCTTCAGAAATCAGTGGCAGATGTGGTTTCAGTTTCATTTCTGGTGCACACTGCAGTCCTTGTAACCTTGTAACCAGGAGATTATAGTTCCTTTTCCACAGGGAGGGTTTTAGTGACAGGAACTCACATTGTTATTTTATTCTATATTTGCCCCCCCTCAGGGCACTGTCTGATGGAGGATGTGAGGACAGCATTAAATGGCAAAGATGGCATTTAGTCGCCTCTTGTGATCAGTGTTAAATGTGACCCGGACGCTCTTTGTCCCCGGACACAGGCGTCCAGAGGCACTTCTGTGGGTTTGTGCTGAGCTTCCATGCTCATTCTGACCATGTTGTGTGACACACACTCTCGCCCTCATCCAGTTATTGCTGCACACTCAGCTCTTTATGCCATCAGCTCTCTCCAGATTCCCTCCACCTGCCTTGGCCCATTTCCTCCCCTCTCTGTCATTTTCACACCTGAAGACCTTCCTCCTGGACCGTACCTACGTTACCTCCTCCCTCCCCCCCCCCCCCCCCCCCCGCTCAGTGTCAGGCTCCACCAATCTTAAGCACTCCCTCTAAAAGGACAGGCTCTGACTCTCGCTGCCTATAAAAAAGATAATAATTTGGTCACTCAATCCATGACTGTTTGTGGGACGCTGCTGTACACAATTGGCTGCCACATTGCGCCCACAAATATGCAGTCTTCCAATATATGCACTTTACAGTGTATTCTGTGAAGTGCTTTGAGACGTCTCGAAGACGTGATAAGGCTCTGTATCAAATGCAAGGATTATAGATTACTATAGACCGAGAGGAAGTTCTGAAAAGATTGACTGGGCTCAAAATTGATAAGTCACCAGGACCAGATGGGTTTCACCCAAGGTGCTGTGGGAGATACGGGTTCAAATAGCGGAGGCTTTGGCCATTATATTTCAATCGTCATTGGACACAGGAGTGGTGCCAAGAGACTGGAGAGTGGCTAATGTTACCCCACTCTACAAAAAGGGGCAGAAAGACAAGCCCGGAAATTACAGGCCAGTCAGCCTAACCTCGGTAATAGGAAAGCTACTGGAGACCGTAATCCGGGACAAAATAAATCTCTACTTAGAGGAACACGAGGTAATTAGAGACCCAACATGGATTTGTTAAAGGCAAATCTTACCTCACAAATCTAATAGAATTTTTTGTAGAGGTGACTGCGAGGGTTGACGAGGGAAATGCGGTGGACATTATTTACATGGATTTTAAAAAGACTTTTGACACAGTACCGCATAAGAGGTTAATAAAAAAACTGGCGGCCCACGGTATTAAGGGGACAGTAGCCGTTTGGTTTAGGAACTGACTGAGTGACAGAGAGCAGAGGGTGGTAGTTAATGGGTGTTTCTCGCAATGGAAGGAGGTGTGCAGCGGTGTCCCCCAGGGATCGGTATTGGGACCACTGCTCTTTCTAATATATTAATGATCTGGACTTGGGCACAGGGAGCACTATTTCCAAGTTTGCAGATGATACCAAGTTAGGTCGGGTAGTAAATAGTGAAGAAGATTGTGACGGACTGCAGGCAGACATACACAGAATGGTGGAATGGGCTGACATGTGGCAGATGGATTTCAATGTGGATAAGTGTGAGGTGATACACTTAGGTAGGAAAAATGATAGGAGGCAATATAGACTTGGAGCTCAATCTTAAGGGGGTGAACGTACAGAGAGATCTGGGCGTTCAAGTAAGCGAATCATTAAAGGTAGTGGGACAGGTAGATAAGGCAGTAAAAAAGGCATTTGGTGTACTGAGCTTCATTAGTAGGGCATAGAGTATAAGAGTAGGGGTTATGGTTAATCTATACAAAACACTGGTTAGGCCTCAGCTGGAGTACTGCGTCCAGTTCTGGGCACCTTACCTCAGGAAGGATATTAAGGCACTGGAAAGGGTGCAGAGGAGATTCACGAGAATGATACCAGGAATGGGGAACCTTAGCTATGAGGACAGGCTGGAAAAGTTAGGACTTTTCCTATTAGAGCAGAGAAGGTTACGCCGGGACCTGATAGAGGTCTTCAAGATCATGAAAGGTTTTGACAGGTGAGATAGGGAAAAGCTGTTTCCGCTGGTAGGTGTGTCTGTGACTCGTGGTCACAGTCTGAAGATATCTACCAAAAGAAGCAGAGGGGAGGTTAGAAGAAATGTTTTCACTCAGTGAGTTGTTAGAATTTGGAATGATCCGCCCGAAAGGGCAGTAAAGTCCTATTCGATAACAGCTTTTAAGAGAGAACTGGACAGGTATCTGGAGAAGACAGGTTTGCAGGGTTATGGGGAGAAAGCTGGTGAGTGGGGTTAATAAGTCAGTTGCTCTGTCAAAGAGCCGCACAGACTCGATGGGCCGAATGGCCTCCTTGTGCCGTAACATTCTCTGATTCTATGAGTCTATGTTTATTATTATTATCCACCTTTCACTACGCCACGCCCCGTATCTCCCACAGCACCTTGGGTGAAACCCATCTGGTCCTGGTGACTTATCAATTTTGAGCCCAGTCAATCTTTTCAGAACTTCCTCTCGGTCTATAGTAATCTATAATCCTTGCATTTGATACAGAGCCTTATCACGTCTTCGAGACGTCTCAAAGCACTTCACAGAATACACTGTAAAGTGCATATATTGGAAGACTGCATATTTGAGGGCGCAATGTGGCAGCCAATTGTGTACAGCAGCGTCCCACAAACAGTCATGGATTGAGTGACCAAATTATTATCTTCAAGCAGTTGATGGGCAGCTCACAGCTGGAGCCTCAGAGATCCCCTCAGGCCGCCTGGGTGTAAGCAGGAGCGGAGACAGGACCCTGAACCTGTGCAATCGCATGTGGCTCCAAGCGGATCCAGTGATCAGATTTACACAGTCACTACACTTTACAGACATTGTAAAATACGCCACTATATTAAATATAAGGGTTAATACAATAAAGAAAAATCCTTACATTTAATACAGAGCCTTATCGTGTCTTCTGGACATCTCAGAGCACTTCACAGAATATACTGTAAAGTGAATTGACTATATTTTGTGGGCGAACGCAGCAGCCAATTGCGCACAGCAGCGTCCCACAAACAATGGTCGAAGGGTTTATCATCTCCAGGAAAACGATCCGCCAACGGAATGTCAACAAGGTTCCTACTTACTACTACATCAACAGAGGTGTGTGGAGGAAGGAAACCTGCCCAACGTTTAGCCTTGTGTGGGAATTGAACCAGGTCTTCTCGCTTGCGAGGCGAGTTCTCTAACCACTAAGCTACAGGACTCCATTATTTTATTTGAAATAATTCTGACAATCAGAGAATTGATGAAAAAGGTGGAAGCATTCTTAAACTGTGCTGAGTGACAAGGAACTCAGAACAGAAGGAACCATTTAATGTGTGTGTAACCCTGCACTTAGTGGTATAAAATCCAAAAGTCCAGGAGATAAACACACTCTTAAAGTGCAGTGAAAACGTTGACTTGAGCAACACAATGGGAGGTATAAAGCTTTAATTCCATGAAAAGCATACCAATACAATGATTCCGTACTTTGATTGGAAGCGTTACAAGAACACTTTCCTAAATCCTTTTGAAGACCTTGATCACAAACAATCATTGAGCTCTGTATATCATTCACAAAGCAAACCCAAGCAAAAGTCCTGAAAGAAGAAAAAGTCCACACAGTCAAGATGATCTTCAACGTCAAACACAAAACACAAAACCTCAAGTAAGCTTGCAGTTCCTTGATCAGCCATTGTGCACAGTGTGACCTGTTAGAATTGGAAAGATGTACACCTGGTCATTCCTGTAATGTGTAAATGTAGCTTTACGCAGTCACTCCACTTTACAATATATTCTGTGAAGCGCTTTGAGACGTCTCAACGATGTGATAAGGCGCTATATCAAATGCAAGGATTGTCGTTATTTCTGTTGGGAGTGCAGGAGTAACGTTGACATTAGACTTAGCAACTCCATATAATGGGATCGGATGATTGGCTTTGCAACATAATACAAATTTGCATTTATATACCACCTTTCACATCAGGGGGACGTCCCAAAGCGCTGGAGAGTTGAGGGGTTGCCCCCGAGGTGAGGGTTGGTTGGTGGGTGTGGGGGACGGAGGAGGGGGCAACAAGGAATGTGTTTAGACGGCCCTTAAAGGAGGTGAGGGAAGGGGTGAGGCTGAGGGACTGCGAGATGGAGTTCCAGAGAGTGGGGCAGACACGCTGACTGCTGATGGTGGGGTGCGTGGGGATGTGAAGCAGGCCGGTACCTGCTGAGCGGAGGGAGCGACCAGGTTAGTACTGTTTTGTTGTCGTGTGAAAAGCTTGAATATCAACATCTAAATTCCCAAATAGCAATCAGAGGCAGTTATAGGTGAAGCTTGACATTTACAGCCACACTGGAATGTCACTTTTATCCCAATCACAAGGAACAGAGTCACTGCTCAATGGTGACTCGAGAACAACCAGGAATACAAGTTACATCTCAGTCTCTGTGCTGTATTCTTTACAACGATTTAAGATTCTTTAGTCACTGTCAAAAGCCTTTTTAATACCGTAGCCAGTCGCAGCCCCTACTGTCCCGACCACAGCACTGCCAGCAGCTGAGAGTCCAGCCGCTCCTTCAGGGGGAGAAAGAAGAAAAAATCGACTTTTTAGTGATAATTTATCAATTCCAATAAAGTTAATACTTTCCCTCAATTCATTTCTAAACTTAGCTAAAATGAGGGGTGTAGGCACAAGCCCCACGTCGAGACTCTCAAGTTGTGTCTAGGCTTAGGCTCTTGTTCAGAACGGGGGACTGGATACCTGACCAGTTGAAAATGGTTCTACTGGAGGGGTATATAAATGGGAGACTTGTGTGAGCCTCACTCGTGCAGAGAGCCAACGGAGTGAGGGCTGAACAACAGGTGAGAGTAGGAATTCAATGCCGAGGGGAAGGAGGTGCAGTGTAGACGCCTTTCATGTCGGGAGAACGTCCCCAACGCGCTCCACATCTTCTCTCTGAAATCACTCTCCTCCCCCATTCCTGTCTCACCTCCTCTCTCTCTCTCTCTCTCAAACCCTTATTTATCAGGCTGGATCTGTCGAACCTGATGAATTAGACTCTGAGCGCTATCCCCTCTCTCTCCCCCCGGAGCTGTCTCTCCCAGTCCCCTCCATGCCCTGCTAATCGCTCCCTCCAGGTCTCTCGGCGTACGCATTTTGGCTGCCGCCCCCCAATTCGAAATCCGCCCTTAAAATGACCACATTTCTCCTCCCCCCACCCACCCACTAGTCGACCTCTGTCGTTCTCTCCCACCACCCTCCTCGCACACTCCTCTCTCTTAGACTCTCTGCCATCGGCCTCCGAAATGTCCGCTTCCTCTCAAACGAAGACCTCGCCATCCATGACCTCATCCCTGGATTGAGGATATCGACATCCTAGAGTTCACAGAAACCTGGCTGTCCCCCGATGACCTGTCCCCTCATCGAAGCCTCATCCCCTCCCCACCGGCTACACTTTCCCCGACACCCCCGCCTCAACTATCGCGGTGATGGGTGGCGCTCATCTCTAAACCTCCTTTGTTCTATCCCCCTACTCCTCCCGCGCCTAAAGACCTTTTCGATCATGCTGAAGGATACCTCCCCCCGCCCCCTCCCTCTCCCCTTGGCTCGTTGTCAGACTCCGCCACTGTGAAGCGCCCCCATGAAGGGCGCAATATAAATGTAAGTTGTTGTTGTCTAAGCTGATGCTCCAATGCAGCGCTGGGCGCAGGTTGCATTGTCGGAAGTTCCGTCCTTTGGATGAGGCGTTAAACCTGGTCTTCACCTTCAAAGGCTTCCATGATCTTGTTCCCCACTCTGTGACCCACTACCCACCCTGCTTGCTCCCTCTGCTCAGTGGACTCCGGCCTGCTTCACATCCCCCGCCTCGCCCACCCCCTATGAAAGGCGCTAGATCAAATGCAAGAATTATTATTATTACCTGCAGACTGTAGGACAGCCACCAAACCACCTGCTGCTATTCCTCCTCCATTGGCTATGGGCAGCCGCTGACATGGTTTTCGCTGCTATGGATCCTGCTACAATTCCAGCACCAGTGAAGCCAGCAGCACCGAGCACCACTGGAGCAGCCACCACTGCAACAACTGTGTGAGAGAGAGAGAGAGAGAGAGAGAGAGATATAGAGAGAGGAGAACAAGAGTAGAGAGAGAAAGAAGCAAGAGTAAAGAGAGTGAGTGGACAATATAGCACTTTCACGTCTTCTAGATGTCTCAAAGTGCTTCACAGAATATGCAGTAAAGTGAATTGACAGAATACTTTGGGTGAAAGAGAGCGAGACAAGGCTTGTACAAGGATAGACTGGACAATAATAAAAAATAACCCTTATATTGATACAGGGCCTTTCACATCAGGAGGACATCTCGACCCCCGAGATTATCAGCTGAACAGAGCATTAAGGCTTCACCTGTCTATGCCTCCCAGGATCAACAGTCCAGTAATTTGGTTAATGGCTGTATTACTGGCTGTGCCTTCTAACGAAGCCAACCAGGAGATGTTCACCTACTGCCAGGAGTTGTGCATCCATGCTTGCACACTCCACCTTCTAAGCCAGTCTGGAACCTTGACATCTCGCTGGACCCCCAACTTTCCTTCCTACCCCACATCCATGCCATGTGCCGCTCTGCCTTCCCCCACCTCCATGACATTGCCCGGCTCCCACCACTGTCTCACACCACAGGCCCCAAAACTCTCATACACATATTCATAACATCCAGGCTCAACTACACAAACTCACTGCTTGTCGGCCTCCCCAATTCCTCCCTCCATAGGCTGCAGATCATCCAGAACTCTGCAGCCCGTGTCCTCTCCCGCACCAGGCTCAGCGACCCTATCACCCCCAACCTCGCCCGACTCCACCGGCTTCCCATCACACAGAGATACCGGTTCAACATCTTGGTCTTGCTTCCCCTACCTCTGAGATCTTCTATCCCCACCAGCCTGTTGTTTCCTCTGCTCAGCAGGTTCTGGCCTGCTTCACGTCGCCCGCCTCACTTGCCCGAAGATTGACCTTCTGCCACTCTGCCCCCATCCTCTGGAACTCCATCCTGCAGTCCCTCCGCCTCGCCCCCTCCCTTGCCTCCTTCAACACCAGTCTAAAGATCCTCCTCTTCGACTGTGCCTTCGATCATCCTCCTTTCCCCCCTACCCTCCACCCTCCCCGATCCCGACCCCCAGCTCGGGTCTGAACTTGAACACTGATTGTCCTCACAGAGCTGTTGGATGTGGTTAGGGCAACAACCTACATTTGAATAATGCCCTTCACGTCGGGGAGGACGTCCAAGGTGCTGGACCGTCAGGGATTTGAACCCGAGCAGGGGGTTGGGATCAGGGAGCGGTGGAGGGGGCTGAAGGCACGGTCAAACGGGAGGGTCTTGAGATGTAATTTGAAGGAGGTAACGGAGGAGCAAGGTGAAGGGACTGTGGATGGAGTTCCAAAGGGTGGAGGCAGAGAGGCAAAAGGCCCGACCATCTACGTTAGCTTTCAGGCGGAAACGGATAGACGTGGGGGGTGGAGAGCAGGTACACGGACAGCGGGAAGCAATCTTTGGGGAGACAGTGCAGACACGATGGCGCCGAGCGGCCTGATTCTGCGCTGTGGATATCTGTGGTGACGGTTAATATCCTACCTGCTCCTCCTGCAGTCCACAGAGCTGTAGCGCTCCAAAGTGCGGATCCTGGGGACAATAAAAAGACTTTCAACTCATCTGATGTTAAGCAACAGAGCGATTGAATCGGCAGCAGTCAAAATTAAACATTTTATCGTGCCAATCAGGATGTTATTAAGTGGAGTTTGCTCTTTGCTCTCAGTCAAGACAGCATAACTTTGTATCGCTATTTATATAAACCGTTTATTATTAAAGAGTTGACTATTTCCATCCTGGAATCCCTCCACTCGCTCACTCACTCCATCCTGCATTCAAACACCATCTCAAGACTTATTGTCGACCGCACCTTTCATCATCTTTCCCCTGACCACCCTCCTTACTGCCCTCCCCAGCTCGGCTGCCAACTCCTCCAATCATCCCGGTTCCTAAAGTGTGCGGGAACCTCAGATGCTGGGAATGGCTGCTGGCTTCCTCAGGTCTCCAGGCCTCACCTGTGTGGAAGCAAGCGGACACGATGAGCAGGATGTAGACCCGGTGCCACATTTTTCAGTCCTTTCAAGAAGTGGTTCAGTGAGATCTGGTCGAGGCTGTGACCACACGACCTGCACAAACAGCAGCAATGATTTCAGGCTGACATTACCAGCAAAGACCCAAACCAGCTCCTCAAGCACTCATCCCACCACTGGCTTTGTAACCTCTGCTGAGTTGGAGAAGCATTAGTTAGTACTCCAAGTACTCCATTGTTCCCTCCCCACTCCAACCGTTGAAAACCTCAAGGGGCGTATGAGTGTCATTGCTGTCTGTCACGCGCAAGAATTCTGTTTTCAAGCTTCACATAAATTGCCAACATTCTTATGTATTGAAGCTAAATGTCACTGGCAGAGCTGGTTTTGATTCTGTGACGTGAAGAAACCAAAACTGAAACACAAGGGTTTGTTCAGGAAGAAAAACACACTATACAAATGCTGTTTTTGTTTTTGGAGTTGTATCTTGTATTGTTGCAGTTCTTCTATTCTTTTATTTTGCTTTTTGCCTTTTCCGATATTGCTGGAATGTCACGAACCTTGGAACAGTCGAGGCTAAATGTTCTGAGCCACAGAGCAAGAGAAGAGATACCCTCACTCTCACCAGCTCAGCCAAACACTCAGATGAGCAACTCTGACTGAACACAGTGTAGCTTAGCGACACCTCTATTATAATTGTCTTTTTGTTAAACATCAGGATGGTCCGTACGTTCTCACCCACCTGAGAGCTGTTTTCAGGCTGGTTTAAACAAGCTTGGCCTTGAGTATGTGACCCATCAGCTGATTCTAACTAAAATAGGAGCATTACATCAACAACTAACAAGAAAGCTGGTGCTGTAACAAACACACTGCTTACTGCTGAACCAATTTAACTCTTGTTTCTAAGAAGTTCCCCGTCAGTTGCTGATCTCAGTCGGGAAGGTATTAGAGGTGCTAGTGGAGTCCAGACATTGCCTCACACAGGGAGTAACAGAGAGAGAATGAGCCTGGGATTATCAAGTTCCTCGTCAGTTGCACTTGTTTGAAAACTTCAAGGAGCGCATGAGTATCATTGCTGTCTGTCACGCGGCAACGGGCAGAGAGCCAACAGAGCAAGCGGGGACCGGAGTGAGCTGGGAACGGGGTGAGGCCTATTTAACAGGAATTTGGAGAGAGTGGGAATTTAGTAGTAAAATAGTACAGAATCTCTTCACTTATTGTTTTCTAATGTGTTTCTCATCAACAGGAATTAGGCCAGGTGAAAATTGTTAGGTGACCAGTTGAAACTGGTTCTGTCTGGGAATTATATGAAGGGGAGTCTTGGTAGAGCTTCACTCAAGCAGGGAGCCCACCAGAGCAAGCAGCGACGAAGTGAGCCCTCTACAACAGGAATTTGGTGAGAGTGGGAATTCGGTGCAGAGAGGGAAGGAGGTGCAGTATGGATGCCATTCAGGTCGGGAGGAGTCCCAACGTGCTTCATGTCTTCTTGCTGAAAATCTTCCTCCTTTTCTCCCATTCCTCTCTCACCTCTCTTTTTCTCTTCACTCTCTCTCAAACCCTTGTTTATTAGGCTGGGGCTCTGTAAATCCTAATAAATAAGACTCTGAGTGCTATCCCCCCTCTCTCCCCACAGCGCTGTCTCCTCTAGCTCCTCCATGCCCCATTGATTGATTGCTCCAAGTCTTGGCATGCGCATTTGACTGTCCCCCCGATTCTGAGCCAACCCCCTCAAAATGCCCCCATTTCCACTCCTCACCCTCTGCTACTCGACCTCTGTCCTTCTGTCCACCGCCCTCCTCGCCTTCTCTCTCCTGGACTCCTCCACTGCCTCCCTCTGTTCCAACCTCTGCCATGCTCACGGCAGCATGCATAATGGTTGACCCAACCTGACGGCCCCCATTGCCCACTCTCTCCGCAACACCCTCCCCCACCTTCTCCTCCCTACTCAAACCCATGGTCATTACCCCCACAATCTGCAACTCTCCCCTAAACCCTTTGCCCCTCAGCCCTCCAACCTCTTCCATCAGTACCCATACCCAGATCGGCCTCCCAAAACGTTCACTCCCCTCTCAAAACAAAGCCTTCACCATCCAAGACTTCATCCTGGATTGGAAGATATCGACATCCTAGGGTTCACAGAAACCTGGCTGCCCCCAGTGGACCCGTCCCCCTCATTGAAGCCAGCCTCGCCCCCCCGGACACACTTTCCCCCCACAACCCCCCCTCAACCATCGTGGTGATGGGGTTGGCGCTCATCTCTCAAACCTCCCTTGGTGTATCAACCCTACTCCTCTGACTGTTTTCCCTCATTTGAGCACCTTACCCTGTACCATCCCTCCTCTCTCTCCCTCAAAATTCTCCTAGTTTACCACCCCCATCCACCAAACTCCTGGCTTCTCCTCAAGGGATATCGCTTGTCTCCTTTCATACGCTGTCCCTCTGCACTGAATCATTGCTCGCACATCTCCCTTCACTCCTACTCCAGTCCAATTCCACCCTGCCACAGCACAGAGACAGCGCTCGTCAAAAGTAACAAAATGACGTCCTCTTTCTTCAGTTATCAGGAGAGGTAGAGAAGTGAGGATTATTGTCCTAGAGCAGAGAAGGTTAAGAGAGACTTGATAGAAGTTTTCCAAAATGATGAGGGGATCGATAGGTGAACAGGAGAAATATTCCCACTGGCGGGTGGGTCGGTGACCCGAGGACACCGATTTAAAATGGTTGTTAAAAGAAACAGAGTGAAGGGGAGGAGAAATGTTTTCACACAGCGAGTTGTTGGGATCTGGAATGCATTGCCTGAGAGGCTGGGGGAAGCCGATTCGGTAATTACTTTTTAAAGAGAGAAATAGATAATTATTTGTGGAGGACAAGTT